TCGGTTATTATGTTAAGCCCATATACCTTATTCCAGCTTTCGTACAGGCCAATTTATTCGTTCTACTTGAGTTACATTTTGACCTTATTAATTATCCGCTTATCAATATTGGCTGTTTTTATATGAGCGTATGTGTGTATAGATTTCATATCCCATTCATCACATGTCTGTAGCTTAATTTTGTGTGACTATAAATATTGATTAACGCTTGACTAAACGGAGTTGGCTTACTTGCCATCTCCACTGCGTGTCGTTTCGCTTCGCTTTATTCCATTCGCTCCATATACAAAATATATGTGTTCCAAAGTCCATTCTTGTTATTCGACGTATTCAATTCCGTTATTGACTGACGCGATTTACGTCGATGATTATATACGAAGATAGGCGACATATGCATTTCAATAACAATCATTCATACGATCAAATTGGAGTCAGATTCCGGGCCCCTGAAGTGGAGAGCCGGTCAACAACATCATCCAATCTAAATAACGACAAAATAAAGGGCCCATTAAAAGAAGTCATAGGTAGCGCGCAAAATATCATGTGATTTCAAAAGACGTAGGTCCTATTTATCAGATTGCTGAAATGAATGACATTGGTACTTTTAAAGGTATAGGGATAGTTCTACAGAACTAATTTTAAATAAGAAATACGGATAAATATTGCCCTGTATCCTGTTTCGTCATATAATACGTGAATAAAACTACCTGTTTTTACTACTGTTGCATTATCTTTCTTTATTTCTTGCCACTTTTTTAAACAGAAAATAATTGTTTATGTTTGTACCCACAAATAACTTTAAAGCACCGACTGTTTATGTGAATTATACCTAATAAACATTCTTAAATTTGCTTACGTTTTTTTTAGGTGAAAGTATATAATCAGATCAATAAATTTCTGAACTTAACAGAGATTAATGGCAAACAGCTAGTCCAGTTATATTTCTCAACTTGTTTAGATATATGCTAACAGTATTATCAATTATAACCAATTATATTGCAAAACTAGTGTAAATTGGAACTTTATAGAATGACTACAATTTTCTCAGTAAAATATTTCGATTGTACAATCACGTTATTTGAATAACATGCCATTCCTAAGACCGATATGAACTGTAAAGAATAGTTGAATTTGTTCAGGTCAGAAAAATCATCAATTCAAATCATTAATAAATAACAAAATACGACTTATTATCTATCTAAATTACATCAATCATTTTGAAAATATACTTCTACTATCCAATACAAACATACAATCTGACTGTTTTCTGTATAAGATTAAAGTACTATTTTACTCAATTGATACACGTTGTAAACCTTTATTCATCTAACATTTGCTTTCTTAAAAGTAAACATCCTTTCCTCTTTATTAATATATATATATATATATATATATATATATATATATATATATATATATATGCATGATTAGCTAGTGAGACATTTTACGTCATTTTACTTATCTATAACTTGTCAGTACTAATAATCATTTGTGACCTTTTAGCTGGGCTTCTTAGCAATCCGGAACTACTGTGGAGAGCAACTGGAAGGAGATCAAAGAAGCAATCACTTCAACATGTCATGAGGTTCTGGGTCACAAGAAGCACCACCACAAGGAATAGATCATTGTTGATACACTGGATAAGATTCAAGAAAGAAGAAACAAGAAGACAGCGATCAATACCAGCCGAACAAGAGCAGAAAAAGCCAAGGCACAAGCTGAATACACGGAAATAAACAAACAAGTGAAGAGGAGCATCAGAACTGACAAACGTAAATATGTGGAAGATTTAGCAACGACGGCGGAAAAGGCTGCAAGAGAAGGAAACATGAGACAATTGTATGACACGACAAAGAAACTCTCTGGAAATCGCCGCAAACCAGAACGACCAGTGAAAAGCAAGGAAGGCAAGGTAATCACCAACATTGAAGAGCAACAAAACAGGTGGGTAGAACACTTCAAAGAACTCTTCAATCGATCAGCTCCACTGAACCCACCAAATATCGAAGCAGCACCCACGGACCTCCCAATCAACGTTGGCCCACCAACAATTGAAGAAATCAGCATGGCCATCAGACAAATCAAGAGTGGCAAAGCAGCAGGACCGGACAACATCCCAGCAGAGGCACTAAAAGCAGACGTAGCGGCAACTGCAAGGATACTCCACATTCTCTTCAATAAGATTTGGGATGAGGAACAAGTACCAACAGACTGGAAAGAAGGACTTCTGATCAAAATACCGAAGAAAGGCGATCTCAGCAAGTGTGATAACTACAGGAGCATCACTCTTCTCTCAATACCGGGAAAAGTCTTCAACAGGGTATTGTTAAACAGGATGAAGGACTGCGTAGACGCACAACTTCGTGACCAACAGGCAGGATTCCGTAAGGATAGATCGCGTACAGACCAAATCGCAACTCTACGGATCATTGTGGAACAATCAATTGAATGGAATTCATCACTCTACATCAACTTCATTGACTACGAAAAGGCATTTGACAACGTGGACAGAACAACACTATGGAAACTTCTTCGACACTACGGCATGCCTCAGAAGATAGTTAATATCATACAGAACTCATATTATGGATTACACTGCAAAATCGTGCATGGAGGACAGTTGACAAAGTCGTTCGAAGTGAAGACCGGTGTTAGGCAATGTTGCTCACTCTCACCCTTTCCCTTTCTCCTGCTGATCGACTGGATCATGAAGACGTCAACGTCTGAAGGGAAGCGCGGGATACAATGGACATCTAAGATGCAGTTGGATGGTCTAGACTTCGCAGACGATCTGGCCCTTCTATCCCAAACGCAACAACAGATGCAGGAGAAGACGAACAGTGTAGCAGCAGCCTCAGCAGCAATAGGTCTCAATATACACAAAGGGAAAAGCAAGATTCTCCGATACATCACAGAATGCACCAATCCAATCACAATTGACGAAGATTTGGAAGATGTAAAAACCCTTACATATCTGGGCAGCATCATTGATGAATACGGTGGATCTGATGCAGATGTGAAGGCACGGATCGGAAAAGCAAGAGCAGCATATTTACAATTGAAGAATATCTGTAACTCAAAACAACTGTCAACCAACACCAAAGTCAGAATTTTCAATACAAATGTCAAAACAGTTCTACTGTCTACTATGGCGGAAACCTGGAGAACTACGAAAGCCATCATCCAGAAGATACAAGTGTTTATTAACAGCCGTCTACGCAAAATACTTCAGATCCATTGGCCGGACACTATTAGCAACAACGTACTGTGGGAGAGAACAAACCAGATCCCAGTGGAGGAAGAAACCAGGAAGAAGTGCTGGAAGTGGATAGGACACACATTGAGGAAAGCACCCAACTGCGTCACAAGACAAGCCCTCACATGGAATCCTGAAGATCAAAGGAAAAGAGGAAGACCAAAGAACACATTACGCTGGAAAATGGAGATAGACATGAGAAAAATGAGCAAGAATTGGATGGAACTAGAAAAGAAGGCCAAGGACAGAGTGGGTTGGAGAATGCTGGTCTGCGGCCTATGCTCCATTGGGAGTAACAGGCGTAAGTAAGTAAGTAAGATAGAACAATACCTTAGAATCAACCAAGACAAAAGGTTTGTATGCAACCTGATGAGGTTTATTAGTCCAGTTTTGACAATATCACAAAAGAAGAACTAAAAGATCTGTTTATTCCTGCTAATTGATTAAATACATCCGGAAGAAGCCATCGATCTAGGTTTTATTATAGACGAATAGAAGGATGCTTCTACTGGAGCTTAATCGGCATCACTCAGCTTGGTTCACCGAATAATTTAAAAATCAATACTAAAGTCTTACTCTTCCACAAATCTTTATACTTTTCCGGATATTCAATGTATTTTTTAAAATTAATCTATCACAAACATTAAAAATACTTTCACCGTTTAATAGTATAAAAACTTTATCATTTCAATAAATATTAAACTACATATTCTTTGAACTATTTTAACCAAAACCATGTAGTTTTCAAGAATATACCAAAAAGAAATTCATCGTTATTTTATTTTTACTTTAATGTGAAATAGTCTTCTACATTAAATGACAGATGTAGTGGTATCATTCATTACCTTTACGCCATATCATTTGTATTAAAATCATAAATTTTATCATCAATATAGCAAACAACCTTTCAGATTCGTCCATTTTACGTATGATAAAATAAAATTTCTTGAAAAAAAAATTAAGTTGATGAGATAAGTATTTATTTATAATTAATAAATGTAACTTCATCAAGTTCCTTATTCTATCATAAATATAAAACCTATTGTTGAACAGGATAAGTATTTACTAATAATGAATGAGTTTATCATTTCAAAAGAAGACAAACACAATTAAATCAAAACAAAATATTTTTTTACAAAAAAAACAGTTCTTTGTGTACGCTGAATCGAATATGTGCATTTTGTAATCATTCCCTACAATAGTAAAATTGATCAACAAACAATTCATGAAAACATCTATTGAAATGTCTTCCTGTATCATATTGTATGGAGAGTTATTGAAGCTTATACACAAATGAAATATATAACAGTTTAAAAAACATAAAGAATGAATATGCATTATCAAACCAAAGACGATTCACATATATGAACAGTAAAACTGGTAGAGGTTGTGATGAAATTTTATAAATAAGAGAAAAATTTATGCATTACACAATATGTTAAAGAATCTAATGGAAAAAGATTATTCTACTTTAAACAGTGATGCTTAGTGAAAATGATAATTCGAAATTTGTAAATAATATCTCCTTTCATGTTTGAAATTTGTTCGTACAATAATTGTATGTCAAAGAAACAAATTATTGACAGTTATTAAGAATGAAAAAAAACACATGAATATTGTTTTGCTAGCCAAGAGATCTAGAAAATAAAAATATATTCACTAATTATGTTTTAATTCAATTTCATTAAATTTTTTTTCTGAGCAAAAAGTCGTTCATTAGTATCTTTTGATACAGTCAACAGTTTTAATCATCGCGAAATGCAGGTGGAACTTCTGGTTCAGTACTTCGTGGTACTGAAACAACTACTGCAATTACTATGGTGGTAATGTAAATAAAGAAAAATAAACGATCCAAGACAATAGCCAAAGTGCGCCATTCCATAGCCACTAAACTTTTACGAGCTGTTTCCTTTTGTCGGTTAACTAACATTTTGACATATTTTTTCAACTCTCTCACATCACGCTCCAGTGTAGTGGTTGAACTTAGAACTGATGGTGATTCATCATGATTAACTGCATTATCTGGCTCATTTTCTGATGATTTTCCTGCACTTCCCGGTATATGAGGTATATTATTGATTGGTGTGGCCATTGGATAAGAATCGAATTGATTAGGGTATCTTGGGACAGAACGACGTTCATTTGGAGCAAACCAATTACTAGCAGCTCCTCCTAATTGTTCTTCTCCATACAAAAAATTACTACCAATCATATTGCATTGTTGAAATGCCCCACCTCCAAAATGTCTAATACGTTCATTCTCACAGTATGTTTCTTCATTTGTTGGAATTTTATTGGGTGACATACCTGGAATTTGAATCTTCTTGTGAGGTTTTATTATTGCCGGCCTAATTGGTTTTTTCATTTCTGGTAGAGGAATTCGCTGCCGTACTAATGTGAGTCGTCCAATACCCTCTATAATAATCTGAAAAATCAGGGAAAATATAGAATCTTTTTTGAATATGAAACATATCAAACTTAGTAATCTACTTAACTAGTTAATAAGTATTTCCACCTATGTCAAATAAACCTGATTACATAGTTTCATTATTATATATATATCAGTATCTAAATTATTAAAAACATTTACACAATCATCTTGATCACTCAGTTTATCAACAACAGATTGTGATAATGCGATTTAACTTGAAATATCAAGGAACATCTAAAGTACATAGCACTTAATTATGTTAAACATAAGAAAAATTATTAGCGCTTTATTAAGTTGTTTTTTTCCCTAGACTTAATTTACAATAACAAATTGTCATAACTAATGACTCAATTGGTTGTATAGTTATGCTAAGTCTAAAATATAAATATTATCTTTCAATGCTATACTTTTCTAGTAATCATATTTTCCGTATTTGGTATAGAGAATAAGTTAGTTCAAAATTTAAATCATTCGTACAACTGATTATCAGATTATTGATAAGTATTACCTACCATTTTACATAATTTGACATTGTGTCTTTAAACTAAGTAAATATGTTTAAGTAGTCTTTATTTATTTTAACAGTCAAATTCACGACTCGATCTAAGCCAGACCATCACTGAAAACCTGGAAGCACTGGACAGTTGTTTCGTCCTAGTGTAGGACTCCTCACCACTGAGCATCCACGATCGCCACACGCCAGACTCGAACTTGTTTTAAATACACACAAGCAGTGTTAATTCACTCCGAAGAAGTGGCTTACACCAAGTCACAAAACGTCAGAAATACAATTTTCTACTGATTGGGATATAAGAAAAATATTTATTACTAACTTTCTACCCAATATTCAATTTATTTGAAGCTATTAAGTCCAACCTGAACGTTGATACTTATATATAGTATTTTTATTTAATTTTACTAAACTATTTACAAAGACACTTACTCTTCTCAAAACGTATGGAACTGATCCATTACGATCGCCTCGAAAATAAAGGTGAATCACCAAAGTTGCCAAGAAAGTGGACAGTGTGATCATAATCATATTCAAACAAAAATACACTCCTAAAGTTGAAGAAATATTAATCAAAAAAGACTATCATTGTTATTTGGAGTAAACTTTAATCAATAGAAAATTTATTATTATTTAGTGGGAAGTAACTGTACTTACATCATTTCGGAAAGTAGATGATCCTGTTGAAATGTTAATAGATAGCTTCTTATCAGAATTACCTAATGACACTAACCATTTGGATATTTGTATAATATGTATTGTGGTACAATTTACTACTAACATATATGTAATAAAAATCCTTGTGTTGTTGGATCATTCTAAGTATTACTATTCATATTACTTGAATGTAGTTCATCGGTCTGTTCTATTGTATTATTTCATATCACTCCCAAAGGTAGCAATGAAATATTTCATTCAATATGATATAATCATTTATATATTCACTTAGTACTTATTATTTAAATATCCAGTAAACTCAAATAAGTGATTTTTTTAAAATAGTAACATTTTGTATTAAGTAAAGTAAATAAGTGAATAAACGTACCAATTAGTGGGAAATTTTTCACAGCACTAGGTGTTGACTCAGCCAACAGTAAGAGTAAAACGAAAAATGCAACAAATATATTCATACCTGATTTGAATAAAAAATCGAAATATTTACCAAAAAACACAATGAAATAGACTTAATCAATTTAAAGGACTTATGGAGAAAAAATGTCATGAAAGATACATATATATGTTTGTAACTGTTGCTATGCCATATGATTTAATAATAGCAAAATGATATCTTAATAAAATATTTTCAAGGCTAAATACAGAATGTTTCAATGGTTAAATCGTAGGAACTAATACTCATTTCATCAGTGAAAGTAGAAAGTAAACCTTTTTTAAGATATACAGAATAGGAGTACTGGACTAACAAATAGAATAATCTGATATTTTGAAATACCTCATAGATTTATTTTAAAATAAAATGAGAGCTACATTCATATCAAAGGAATGACTTAAACTAATTCATCTTTTCATATGAAAATTTATGGTGCCAACACATTCATTCTCTAGATCGAAAAGCAAAGCATCTTGATACCGCCTTTTTAAGCTAAATTTTAAAAGAACCCTGAATATTTTATTGGAATTCTTTTTGAAGATATTGTTTTAATTTTACCTTAGTAATTTTACTGTAAAGTCTAAAATACCCGGAAGAAACATTTAGTACTCAGGTTAATTAAAATAGATAACAAAAGTAAGTCACAGTGAAGTCATAATATCAGCAAAATGGTACATGTGTTGCTATTCTTACCAAGCATCATTTTTGCTGGAGATTCTGGAGGCAACCAAAATACAACCAATGTTAAAGATGATAACAACACACATGGAATCACTAACATGAATACATAAAAACTCGGGTTCCTTCTCAAACGTATTAAATATCGTAAAACTGGATATTCTCTTGTGATCACTTCGTTACCAACAGTTTGACTTCGACGTCGATGTTTCTTAACTGATCGAATTTGTATAGTACGGTTGACATGGTGTACTTCACGTTCTTTCTCGCCATCCGTACGCCATTCATTACTTGGTACGTAATCTGAGAAATCTAAATATGGCATTTCTTCTATGGGAGGTGAATCTGGAATCCACCATGATATGTCCATTTGTGTTTTATCGTACGTCCAAGATCCGAATTCTAGCATACATATCTATAAAATAATCCACATGTATTAGACTAATGAAATAATTTAATACAAGCTTCTTTTATTTTAAGTTATCTTAAAATGTGATTCAGAAATATTACACTTGAGTTTTGTTTTTAAAAAACAAATCTGTAAATCACAATATCAAAGTATTACAGTTTATTCTTTGGGTTTTAATGAAAAACTAACATATAGAATCGATCAAGTCTGACGTCAGAAAGTAATTCGTCGATTACGTTCAGTGAGGATTTTTCTATGACACGGATCGATTAGAACTTTATGTGTGAACCGTATTGCTTTAATCCAGTTTACTATTTATATCTTGCTCAATGTGTCATCTAAAAAACATAGACTGGATACCGCTTTGCATAAAGTAAGAGCTATTCTCATCAAACATCCACACTTCAAACAAAATATACTGTTTAATACCCTTTCATCATATGATTTCACAGAAACTGCTGTTGATAAGAATCGCATTTAAGCTGTTAAATCAATGCTATTTCTAGTGGTTTTGTAAAAGTATAGGAAATCATGCAAAATTTGAGACGATTTTTCACTCGAAGTAAAGTAGACATTTATTTATTGCTCCTAGTGCTTTCAATATATGAACATAAATGTCATATCACTGCACCAGACAACCTAATTACCGCACATATTTTATAGATAGATTACCTAGCTGGGTAATGATGCTTTCAAAAGTAATTATGGAAGTTTTGAAAACGAAAACATTTTCTTTAATTATCAACCAAACATAAAAATCATAGGCAACTCTAAACAGCATGAAATTAACGACAGACTGGAAATGACATCAATGTTTCAATTATTGTTAATATAACTAATATAATTACTCATTTGTATCATTTCTATTATTCCTTTAACAATCAACTGAAAATAGAAATAAAATAAAATTGATGGCCAATGTCAGTTATTAATGATTGTCAGAGTAGTTTGCGACATATTAATATCAACTGTCTTGAGTTAAGTATAAAAATCAATTAAAGAATATTATTAAACGTGATTAAATTCATTGTAAATACACTCTCATAAAACTTGGTAACTTCTTAATAATTCCAATTCAAAGCAAAAAACTAACTACATTTTGATTGCTGTGAAAACACAATTGCTTTTAGTTATATTCGCGTCGCTTCTGGATATGAAATGTTGGCAAAGGCATACGAGATGAAGTGATATGTCGTTGTCATATATGTTGTCAACAACAATCTGTCAAAAAAGACTTCTTAGACTCAGTCTAAATTTATATCTAGACAAACCATGTTATTTGTATCTCAATGGATTATATGGACGCCAGTACCCACTGTAGTGGTTTTAAAAGACATGACAAATTAAAAAAAATTGTAGAGTTTTTACTATAATAAGTAAATCTACACTGAAATTTTAATAGTGACCACTATGGTTGATAGAGTAGGGAGATTTATTCAAGTAGAAGAAACGGTATTTCGGAAAAATGTACAATGCAGGGAGGAACAAGATTCGCAGCATTCAAATGTCTTACAAGGAAAGATGTTCTTCAACTTCAAGGTAGTAGGAAAATACTACCTGTTTTCTGATTACCTAAAATCGGTGTAAAAATGCCTGTACCATCTTAGCAGTCATTTGGGGTCACTGATACGAACAAAAGTTACCGAACATGAAAAACAGATATATATTTCCGTGTCCGAATTATTATGAAAAAAATATTTCAATTTAAGAAGAATGATATTACTAAGCTCAGTGATTATTTTTTTTATTACCAATGATATTCAAAAATGTTTACTATCTATAATACAGTGACCAAATCGAAGATAAATTTTCTAGATAGAGCAGAACTTCTCAAGTTCACATCTATTTATTAGAAATGACAATTTCACTAAACAAAAACATTAAAAAAAACAAACGTAACCAGAGAACAGGAAATAATATTGATTAACTGGAATATGAGTAGATCGCCTTGAAACTATTGATTTTGAAACACCTTAGTAAATGGCTGTAAAGAAACTGTCAAGAAAACTCCATACAATAAATCATATTATCCTACTTAATACCTTAAAGAGTTACTTAATTTAATAGTAGTTTTCGAAATAAACCTACATTACTTACTAATTCTCCTATCTTCGTATGCTACGCGACAATAATGAATAACTTTCATGTATATAAAGATTGGAAAACAACACTTTCAGCTTTAATTAAGAATAAGTTTTCGTTGAGTCACTAATCTGCATGCATCGACTTCTACCAGTTGGTTGTATAATATAGCCATTCTGTTGTCGTAAAACATTACTTGTAATTACTAATTATCAAAATGTCAAAATCAATTATTCAAATTTAATATAGAAGCATTAATAATATAAGTTTAAAATTACTTGTGTATCGAACGGGAAATATGTGATTTCAACCTCACATGTACTTTTAAACAGTGCTTGTGGAACCCATAACATTTCTCCGTTACTTGACACTACAACACGAGCATCTCTGTGTTCACGTAAGCGTTCATCAGCACTAGAATATGAAGTATTTTAAAATATGTCATTAACTATAAGTAAACTGAGGTTAGAAATCAAATAATTATCATGGTTGTTGACAGAATAACATAATCAGGTTAAAATCCGTTAGTTTAACACGCACACTATTCAAACCTATTCGAGTGGCTTCATCCCATACATTGTCTAAAGACTTATTTGACAGAGTTCAAAATAAAATGAGAAGTTAAAACTTGATCTGTTGCTTCAAATGCAAAACGAAACAATTTTCTAACCACCTGATCGTTTAATGAGAATTTATGTTATAAGTAGACTCATGCAAGTCAACAAAAGATTTGTCAAATACATTTAAAGCATACAGATTCCAGAAATGAAGATTTCATCTAAAAAAAAAGTCGTTTATTACAAGTACCATTCCAAATATTATTGCAACTATTTTGAACATTTTTAATGACCTTTTTAATGAAAAAATCCTTTCTCAGGACAATCATTTAAAAATACACTTGCATGATCAGCCTCTATTAAAAAAGCGGGGTGAAATTTGTAAAATTAACTGAATCCTAGTAAATAAAAATGAACTGTGATACACAGTCAAAGTTTCTGACACACAAAGGATATAGATATATATTTTATTCTTAAAATAAAAAACAACACTGATATGTAAACAGATGTGAAAAATAATAATTGGAACGTCTAAAGTTGCATTCTCACAAGAGACTTCTCCCTGAATATGTCACTTTAACAGAAAGAAAGGAATATTCTGAATATCTACCGACTAAACCATAACGAAACTGATATATAAATCAAAACTTTTAACATTTATAACTTGTTTTCTGTTACACAGCATTAATATCCTTATTTACAGCATTTTTCTTACCTAGCAGAATACACGAAAATCTACACAGTAGTGTCTTTCATGGAATCATCTTGATTAAGTTTGATTTTTATTGAACTAAATATTCTACCTTATTCTCTGATACGATTTATATCTGTTTTAATTTATTTTGGTTATTTATTTATTCCGAAGAAATGGACTACATTGAGTCATGAAACATGAGAAGTCCTAATTTCTATTCATTGGGCTATCACAAATATATCATTAAATTTAATATTTAGTTAGATCAGTAACTTAAATAGCAGGATGACAATAAACTAGCTCGCCTGTTGATACTAAATGAAACATTGAATAACGACTATCAAATACAATTTCAGAACATATAGTCACTCAACCAATGAACAGTAGTCATGTATATGAGACTTCACCATAGTATTTCGAAATCGTTAAATTAAAATACAAGAGCAAACATAGTCAATAAATAACTTTACAAAATCATATTTAAACTAAATTTGTTTTAATTTAGAAATGAATTTTTATAGACTGTCTTTTTTTCTTAAAGATCATATGATAAGCATAAATAAGATGAATATTTAAAATGTATGTCAGCAAGAATTTCGAGTTAAAATGACTTCCTTGGAAAATGAAATGTCCATTGATTAGACAAGGTTACTCATCTTATAATGGAGTAAAATAAGCTCTATAAGTTGTTCCGAGAATATACTTGGTAATAACAATTAAATAATTTTAACTCATTGATTTTATATTCAATGTCTTCTCTTCACCTACTATCATAATAAAAATAGAACCAATAGATATTCTTACAAATTATACAGTTTGATATCCGGCGTCCAAATCTGTGAAGGGAATATTCGAACTGTTTTGATATTTCCGTAATCACTTTCATTCCAACGAAGAAGAGAATCTGTCCATTTCTAAAAAAAATTATTATTGTCATTTTAGTACTACTAATAAGTAATCTAATCATAAAAGTAAATTATTATTAAGTTGAATAAACAAAAAACTTATAATCCTTACAAGCGAATGTAAAATAAAGTTGGTAGATTAAGTTTTGTGCTTCTATTGTGATCTACCATACCTCACTAGCTGTCAGCTTACCAGAAGTAAAGTATATTTGAAATAATACGAGTGACAACAATAATATCGTTCTAGAATGGGTTATCGCTTTCTATTTGAACTGTGTGAAGTGCATAAAAATCATGTTAGTCAAAATAATCTGAAGCTGAATAAAGAATAGATGATGTTCCATACTATAACCTTGGAAAATGGCACTGCAGGTCAAATTCTATTTGCCATCTAAGTAACTTAAGAAGCACAAATCTGTTCATTCAAACGAGTCTCCTCAAGAAAACATCTCCATATTTTAGCTCAGAAGGATAAATTTTCAAGACTTCATGAGAATTTCGGGAGTTGAGATCTCAGCTCAATTTGTTAACTGGTATATTTTCTTTAAAAATTATGACATTCAAGCATGACTTTCAGATAACTGAGTACACTTTGGATGAACTCTCTAAACACTTAACACAGATTAAAGTCCATTCTTTAAGGACTATGCTTATGCATTGTGTGGCCTTACTGATAATATGTTCTATTTCTATGATGACTACTAGCATGATGACTTCGTCTTCGTTTATTATTAACTGAGTGCACCATATCAGTTGTTCAATTCAAAAGGAAAGACTGGACAGTACAGATAAATATATAACACATTATTCGGCTAGTATTTCTGGGAATTTATGAATATGACTTCAGTAACACAGTTACGAAAACTTTGTGGAAGATTGATTATATATTTAATGAAGAGCTAAAGGATTCAGACTTAGTGTAGGGTGGATAGGTCACTAATTAGGTTACAATTGGTTTTTTGTGAGGAAACTAATAGAAAACATGATTTGGTTCAGATTTAATATGTATGAATTTTCTCAGTTCATTATCGACTAACACCCATGGACAAGGATTCCAATACAATTTATCTATATTCGTGAGAGAAATATTTTCGTTTCAAATGTTCACTACTATGAGTAGTATAAAAACGTTATGCATAATTTAAACAGGGATTTTTGTCTCACCGCTGTAAATCTAGAACAAAGCATAATTGGTTGCTAATTTATTATTAATACGTTTGGCTACTCACTACAGATGAGCTGAAGATATTTTGGTAAATATCGATAAGATATATATGTTACGAGTATTACATGACCTTTTTTATTGATCGAAAATTTCAAGTTTATTTATCCTCTAGCAGCAAAACATTTTCCGTTAAACTAATAAACTTTATATAATGAAGAATCCAAAGTTTTGTGTTAATTTCTTGCTTTTTGGCAGACCAGTCGAACTGGGGACAGACCTTAAAACAGAAATCAAGTACCAGTTACATCATCGTCATAATGTCCTTATGCAACATTCGTTGGAAATAATGTTTTGTTAACTCATCATACCTTTTGCCCTATACAGACTACTATGCTTGTTGAACTTATTAAGTTATTGTTATAATATTTTATGTTATTTTGAACTTCAGAAATCCACAACAAACTAATTATATACCTCACTACCAACTGTTCATTAAGACAGTCCTGCAAATCTGGTAATTATTTCAAATTTAACTTACATACATCGACCAACAATTAGTTCGTAAAATTTGTTTATTTTCATCTAAATCCAAAATTTGGAAAAGTTGTAATCCATAACGAACATCAACTTTAATTTTGCTGTCATTTACTGGTCGTCCAATTACACCAAATTGTTCATATCGATTTAATAACATTCTGATAAGATTTTTTTCCACTGATTTTGTTTTCATCTCTGGTAAATAAATTAAGTGAAAATGTTTCCAAAATATCGAGAAAAATAAAATGAGGTTAACTGTAAATGTAGGCGAACATGTACTAATATTTGTTGAGAAGCGCTAGAAAAATGCAATTACCTGGTATAGGATATCAATTTGTGATTTAGATAGATTCCATTTACAATGTAAGTAGCTCATTAATTTATTGATTCGTCCAACAGGTTGCCTGTCAAGTCAGTCAGTCATCTAGGACCAAGTACATATATACATCGGTCCAAGTTGCCATACCGCATTAACACAGAAAGATGAACAGCGGATTCATAGAAGTGGTAAATTCAATGGTGGATATATATAAAAGAAAGATTGCGTATAAGGATATAGGAAAGGTAGAAAGAATTAGTTAGTAGAAAGAAAAATATGAATTTAAATCTCATAGTTTAAGGAAAGACAGAGTGTATACACCTACGCTATTGTGATCGATTCTGAGCCATGTCACCAAGAGTCTCCAACCATTGGTTACACTAGTCACACTGAGCCTGACCAAGTTGTCTGCATCTACCAACATGGCTCAGACCAGACGTTAGTGACTTTATGGACTGATGCCACATTTTGGTTTGGTCGCCCCTAAATTTCTTCCAACCATCCCCAATACTAGTCAGCCTTGCGCATCGTGGTAATCAATGTTCAGGCATACGTAACACGTGGCTCAACCATCTCAGTCGATGAAGATTCACAACCTCATCAACTGATTTACCATCATTCCCCAATACCCTGCGTCTAACCTCACTATTACTTACCCGGTGATCCTAGCAGATGAGAGTAATATTTGCCTGTTAAATTATTTCTCGGTTGGAAAACTTTCGAATAAGTTTAGAAATGTACCAAACCATCCTCAGATAGTAATGTAGTTTCACATTTGATCATTTTAAGCAATAGTGTAAACATCAAAATTTTATTGGAAAGCTTTAGTATTTTTAGTAAAAATCCTACCCTGAAAATATTGCATTTTTCTATCACCAATTCAGTCAGTTTCTAACATGGCTTAAAATTTCCTCTGCTTATAATATTTGATGATAACTGGGATTAATTCCTCAGATCAATAAGCAAAGCTGAACAAATGTCCATATCAATTAACTGAAAGAATAAGGAGCGGACAACAGTAGTGGTTTCAATGTCCTGTATTCTGCGGGATCTATCTTCGCTTTCATACTATCATATATATTGGCGCTCTCTTGTACCAATATTTATGTGTTCAAATAAATAAATAAATAGATAAATACTATCAAATAAAAAGTAGACTTTACTGATGGGGATCATGTCTTTAATTTCTGAAGCAAACTAATGTAAGCACATATTTCATGATTAATCTATTGAAAGTAAACGCTGTGTAGTTGACAATTGCAAAAAATTCTTAAAACGTATAAGACGGATATTTTGTGTAGAATTTAAATGAACCAGAAAGTGATTCAGTATTGCAAATTAAAAAAAAATTAATTAACGAAGTACGAAGGACGAAACATATTATAATTTACATCTTAACGCCCTACTTTATTAGATAGCTTCTATGTGCAGCAAACTAAATTCTTCTCTCTTTTATAAACTTTTGCATTTATGTAGCTTCACGCAATTTCATTTACATCCACGCTTTCTATTTGAAGTTTTGAATCATACAAATAATTGCCTTGATTTCACTGATCATTAATCACCTTAAATGACTAACCAGAATTCAAGTGATGTAAACAAATTTCTGGCTTCCAGATGAAAAAAATTACCATGTCGATTTAGCTAATAAATATTCGCAACCAAGAATACATATCAGTTAGTAGTATATTCCTAGAAATGGTTTTGCCTGGTATACTTGACATTGTTAATAATCAGAGTACAAAGTCTGACATTTAAATTACAAAATGAACCCTCAAAAAGGTTTGTAAGTAAAAACATCTGGAAGGATATAGAGCGTGTACAAGTTGTTTCTGTTAAAAGCGAACATGAACGTCATATATGTTAACACTAAGATCAATATACAGATTTGAGAAAACATAACTTGTTCGCTCTCTCGCCTAGTTTTTCTCCAAGATTTTATAAACTCAAGGATTTATTTAATAATTAGTAAACAACATTACTCTATGGTTTTTAAATGGTAGATGAAAAATTATCAACAGCACAATTCTAAATCATCTCGTCGATTCTGATCACTAAGTTACGCTAAAATTATCCATTCAAATGATCTACATGGCTCAAAAAGAGCTCGAAAAAGTATCCTGTGTATACTAGAAGTCTTAGTGATTCAACAGTTTCAGATCAAACATTTTCTGAAAAGCAACACTCTCATTCACTCATAGTCCTTACATCCTTCATAAATTCTATGATAATCAGTGCAGAAATAAACCATATTAACGACCTTGAAAATTTCAGGTGACATCTTAACCGATCAGAAGGCCCTGTGCGTTTATTAAGCAATTTACAATAAGAAATTGAAAAAATTGCAAAGGATATGAAGTTTTGACATATATAATGAACCTTTTTCACGTGTTATTTCTTACGGAAGAAGAGAATGGGTTAGGCTTAAGAGCTCGAGATAAGAATCAGGGTTAGAAGTTGGGACTACGTTTTGAGGTTTAGAATTAGGGTTTGTAGTTGGTATTAGTTTTAAGAAATAGGAATTAAGATTAGGGCCTTCATAGTGAACTGATACCAGCTTTAATGGAAACGTTAGGGTTACAAGGCTTGAATACAAAGCGTTCTTACTATCTTATTATATAGGTGAATGAACTACGCCCAAATATCCGCAAGACACTAACTTAAATCTATTTAGTTCTTCGATTAGTTGCAAAGCTTCTCCAAAAACTTTCAGGTAACATTAAAGAATTTAAAATCCCGTTAGCATGTCATCCATATTAGATCCATTCGTTTTTTACTGTTTCTTCTTAAAAATAATAATTTAGGATTGTAGTCTCAAGAGCTATTCAAATTTCTTCCTGGTTTTTAGTCTCATTACAACTAAAGTTTCAGCATATAAGTAGGGAAATATCCATAAATTTTGTTAAGTTTTAGCTCTTGACAAGTTACAACTATCTGGTATTGCGTTTTGAATTATATGCTAAAAGCTAACAAGTGCCACTTTCAATCTCATTGGTAGTCTCAAGATCGTCTACATAGTTTACTTCAGATTAGTCTGTTTTTACCACCCTCTTTAAATTTTCCAAATTTGTTTGTCAGTCGTTATAATCAACCCCCGTTTTCCAATACCACTTATATCCTTCGAATTTCTCAAATGGACAGTTATTTTTTAGAACTCTGATCCTTGAATCAACATAGTTTGCCATTTTTCTTTGATCTTTAGACCATTCCTATTATTATATCATTCAAACACATAAACATTGGTACAAGGGAGCACCAAACGCATATGCGTCACATAAAGCATTCGATTTGTGTGGGGGCTGGGATACTACCCGGGTGCACAAAGTGAAACAGGTGGTTTCCTTGGGAAGTCACACTCTGAATCTTTGACCTAAAGGTCTAATCAACAAGGCAGTGCAGCAACGTCAGAAGATGCAGTCCCATGGTAACCGGTGACCAACAATTGGCTCACACTCCATTTGTTCCCTTACGATATTGGAGCCCATGTGCAACATCGGTTCGGGATCAGGGTTTTCTAACCCTCCGTATCCACCAACCCGATCAAGGCGCTGGACATTCACTTTTCGTCCTCTCAATTTCGTAAACAACACCCTTGCCGCAAGAAGGCAGTGAGTAGGACTTCCCTGGCAGTGGCTGTATGCACGTGATTATGTGAGATTATTTCGAGAGAGAGAGAGAGAGCTGACTCTCCCCACTCTCAGTCGTACCAGGGCAATTTAGGGTAAAAATAAAATTTCTAAGCAATTTATGAAGATGACTTCTCTTTTTGGAAAAAGACTAATATATCTACCAAATAACTGTTAAAACAACTGTGCAGCCTTAATACAGGATGTCATCAGAATTCCTTTCATCTGGTTTTCCAGTTCTTTGTCTTCAGTATGGCATAGCTGTTTTTGACTTTTTCCTTAACATTATTTACTACCGATCAATTCATTTCCGCCTGAGAGTAAGGATACACTGATTGTGATAAACATTCACTTTCAAAAAGCAGTATATCCAAGCATATCACCTATCAAAGTACTATACAGTTTAATTCAAAGTTATCAGTTTTAAATTCACTTGAAATTGTTTACTTGCATCTTCCTACTGATGTTTACGACTGAAATTTATCAGTCTCTTATTGGCATATGTGCATAGTGTGCGTATTGCCTTGATATTGTCTCAGTTCACGAGCATTATAAGCAAAGATGTATCAGATTTATTCTAGAAAACAACCATAACGTTGTATTTTAGGTTTAAACAAACATTATGTATGGATTGCATCTGAAATTTTTGGAACTTTGTTAGTTATGTCGATTAATACTTTGACATCACAAGCTTCACGAACAAAAAACTGTATTGATATATTCATTTAAAAGAAAAAAAATGCTGTTAAATGCCCTCTGTTTGATCTATGCAGCACAATTATAAATTTGTGTAATCACTTACCTCTAGGATGACCTTTAGGTGCAATTCCTGAGACTTGTAGTACCTCATTTATGATACCAAACAGTAATATAAAACAGTATTTTAAATCCATTTCTCCAAAAGGTGAAGTTCTGCTTTACTAAATCTCCATTTTACCCAACTTATCCGAATGTAGAAATTCACCTAGCTTACTTTCATCTTCATTATCAAATCTGTTTCAACCAATCTGCTTATTCCTTCTGTTTAATATGTTATCTTTATTAAATACAAGTTGAATCGACCAAACAGCCTAATTTGTGATTGGTTAATTAAGTATGTCTAACTACCCATCATAATTACTTTTAAATAAAGGTTACAGATTCAGTTGACCCATATATTACGAAGCTTGTTTATCAGTATGTAAAATATACAAGTTACTTTCAGCCTCTGAGATCATTATGTGAGCATGAAGTGTAGTTGCGCAATGAATGGGTGCAAGTAACTATTTGATCACAAAAGCAATCCTACTTAACATGATCTTCCATTTAACGAACTTAACAGTTCACTCGTGATCTTAACATTTTGCTCAAATGTATTTGAGTATAAGTAATTGAGTTTAATGAGTGAACTTATTTAGGTTGTTCACAAAAATTTAGCGTAAAAATAACAGTAAATTGATGAACAGGTAAAAATTTCAGAACTTCAATGTTTCTTCAAGAATGAGTTCAATTGCAGTAAACGTAGCAAAATAGGTTTACTTCATTCATCAAACATTAAAATGTTATTCATTAACCTATAGGTTAGGATATTGGATTATCAATCATAAGCGTTGTGTTTGCGAGTTAGCAGTACAAATTAGGTCTGACCAATGTTTTGTAGCGACTACTTTTATGTCAGTTATAACGAACACAGTATGAATACTAGGTAACTTAATATCGTAACTTCAAGGGCACTTAACTCTATATATCAGAATTGCAGTGAGATTTAAAAAATTCTCCCAATGGACTCCAGGTTGACTTAGAAAGTGGTTCACATCATAATTTTAACTACAGAAGAATTAATGTAAAAAACTCACATATCAAAATTAACATTTTATTGTGTGACTTCATGATTTCATTCCCTAAAATAATAAAACTCAATAATTCTAGGTATTCAACGGAACAATTTTTTGCTAAAATTATAAAAGTATTTGACAATTTTTCGAACTATTTTTCACACATAACTTCCAACATTTTAGTGGTATAGCAACACACCAACTTGATCATATATCACATTCATACATTTAGAAGATACTGCATACAGTAAATGTCACAAAGTACGTAATTTTTCAGTTGTAGAGGAAGGTAAAGGGATCAGTTCAAATTTTATTGTTGTTTGGTTGATAGTATTTGATATACAGACCAATTGTATTCTACACAAAGTAACAAACAAATGATAATCGATATAACAGAGCTGTGTTTTTAATATTTACAGAAAAAATATATCGGACGATAAAAGTAGAATAACTCTTACTTACTGACATTAAAAGTTGAACAAATGTTTACTTTGTATTTCAATGTAGTCTGTTTGTTGTTTAATGACGAAACTTAAGTAGGAATTCGTTATATATGTACAATACTTTGTAGTGAAGCAAAACAGAATTCCATTACAAAATCATACAAAGTTCATTCCAAACCGAGTAATATATTGAAAGAAGTAATAACTGGATTTAAAGAAAATTTAAATAACGTTGAACTTAATATAGTTCTGTAGGTCTTAAGAATTTAAAAACATCGTTAAGTTTCTAGTATGTCCGATAAAACAATTCTATAGTATTCCTAAACAGATTTCATGTCACAATACTGTTTATTGGTGGAGATTACGTTTATTTAATTTCTATTGCCTTATATACGATATTAACATTTACATTTTCTAAATTTAGCGTTGTTATCCTTTGTCCCTCACATCGCAGTCACGCCCACTACCAAGATCACTTTACCATGTTCAATTAATTCATCATAGAATCAAGCTTCATGGTCCGGTTAAATCCTGGTTAAAAACGGTAAGTTTTCTCATACTCAAACTTTACATTGAATCAAGTTATTCACTAGGATTAACAGATGATTTATTTAAATACAAAGAATTTCTAATATAACTCTGTGAAACTCCGGGTATAACTTAGAAGGGATTCAATGAATTTGTTAAAAATATCAAATCTATCTCTGTAACATAGTTTACTCAAGATAAAATATAAGTAGATGGAGAATTTTGCATTGACACCCAAATTTAGTCAAGTCTTGTTTACTCTACTTTCAGTGGAAATGGAAAAGTTCAACTCTTCGTGTACAATCTTTGCACAACGAATAGTCACATAGCGCCTTTCCAAAATATGAACTCATACATTAGATACATAATTTGTTTATCTTTCCTCACTTATCCATTGCGTACCCATCATTCTTTCTATCCCGTTGTTAGTTTGATTACTATTTGCTTTCCTTCTTCCAATTCCTGCTACATACTACTTATATCTGTTTGTATGATTAGCGCGCACCACGCCCTACCTTTTTTAGATAGCAGCTCAATGCATTCAATCGACATCTTTATTTATCTGTCTTACATTCATCTGATCACATCTGTTGCTGAACAGAAAATAATGAGAGCCATTACGTATTTTAACATTTATTTATTTCCGTGTTAATTTTGATGCACATTTACAAAATGTTCAATTATCAGCACACGTTAGAAAAAAAATCTATTCACTAGTGTGTTTGTCAACGTTTTCCAAACGTTTTAGAGTCTCCATATTGTAAGGAAATTACACCATTCATAATTATTCGATTCAACTTAATTAACTTATGTTATTAAATAGTTTTGGGATGATCAAGATAAAGTGGATTGATGAAGAAAGTTTCGGCAATAAAAAATGATGGAAGTTCGAGAAAATGATAAAGCATTCCAAAAAGATACTTTAAATTCCAAAATATGATTAAAAGAATAAGTTAGCAGTCTTCAACTATTGCGATATCTGACAAGTAATTTACTGATTCTACAGCAGGAATCCATCGTTGTGTAAAAAATAGCTAGTGTATAATTAAAACATACTTTCAAAACAAAACTGGTGTTGTAGTGAATGGAAACTCATATGGGGACAATTAATTTGTTGTTTTATGTATTGATCACACGGTTGCTTAGCAAAATATGGAAATCAAACAGTAAATATATTATTTGCGCATCCTCTTTGCATTGTTCATTATCTACTTCCTTTAATTCTGTCGTTATTTTGATTACTCTCCGATTTTGTTTCTATTATATTCAATTTAGTCTTCTGGTTCCAGGCATTCCAATTTCGATTGTAGCTACATACTACTTATATTTGTCAGCGGAAGTGACATACAGTAAATTACTAGTTCTTTACACTGATATTTCAATATAGCAAATAAACAAAGTTTATTGAACTTTTAATCATTTCTTATAAACTGAAATAACTAACAACAAGCAAAGTTAAAAACATTAAGAAATACAAGACCGATTTGTGTTCACAATGGCTTCTGAAAATACAGAAATATTCATTTAGTATAGGTGGAAAAAAGAAAAAAAGATTGTATGTAAGTTATCGTATGTACAAACCGAAAATCAAATTAATTGGTGAAAGTAGAAAGAGCATATTCTTTGCTTGTTTAATTTTCACGTATCATCGTTTTACTAAGGATGAGAATTATAAACTCAATATTTCGTTTTTTTTCTATTACCCTTTCAAAATTCCTTGTGTTTTGGTTTAAAAAACAAACAAGAAATTAAAATCTTTTAATTGCTTATTGAAAGTTATATGATTAATGATGAGGATAAATAGAGATTTGGATTACTTATTATTTTGAACGTGGAAAAGTGGTTTGGTGATGAAGGCTTTTAACTTCATTCAACAAATCAGAGGTTTGAACCCCGTCACACCTATTGTTGTCTGAGAAAGCTGAATAGTAGGATTATGACCCCACACTTACAACATGACTTGTAGCTAAGCTCTCGGATCCATGCCTAGTAAGTGAGTTAATAAATATGTGAAAAATATCTATTATTTTATAATAATAATAACATAATTTTATTATAATAATTCAAAACTCATGCATATCAATGAACACCGTTTAATTTATCAGTATACATACTATGATACGCTCATTGATGATCAGCTTCGAAAGGTAATTGTCGGAGTTCTAGTGAAAAGCTGTGACCAGCGGAGCTAATCCGTGTCGCATGTGAGGTAGTTACCCAGAAGAAGATGTTTGTGCAATGTCTTGGATTGATTGAAGTGATATATTAACACTATTGGATGCCGACTAAGTGGTCTAGAGGTTGAACATTTACACGTGAAGTCGAAGTCCTGTGTTCGAATCTCGCGTACAAGGACGTGGATGCGGACTATTGACGAGTCAAATGCTAGGACAAAACGCCCGTCTAGTGCTTCAAGAAAGCTTGCTTCATGGTTTTAATGAAATACATACTAAATTCTAATTTATTTTCCTCATTCATTGGCTTGAAATTTTTCACAATAGAAAGCTTCAATGAAAATACTTGGATTCAGTTTGTCGTAACCCAACTGGAAATATTTTTTAAATATGTATGAATGTACATTTCCATACATATAACCACACAGATGGAAACTCATCGATCTTGCTCACTTTCTAAGTTATAAGCTATCTGAAAAGTTGAAGCAAATAACATAACTTATAGAAGGTTGATTAAAACAGAATAAAATTATAAATTCAAAGAGATGGAGAGGAAAAGAAGAAGAAAAATGGGACATTTCGATCAGATTTATATAAGAATTGACCTAGTTTTCATTAGCTTTATTATGTTTATTATTTTTGTTTTCTTTTCATCTCCTTTTACAAATTAGTACAAGGGAAATTTTTTAGGAATAAAAAGAAAAAATCAATTATTCCTTTATTGCTTTACTATGCTGAATAAAATTAAATGGAAGTATGTAAAATAATGGTGTGAGACTGAATTGTATCTTAATACTCCTCAGTAGTGGAAAAGATTGGTTAATATACATCATAAAACTACAATAATAATAATAATAGTATAATAAGGTATCGAATCAAATCCAAAGGCTTGAAATACTCATAAAATGCATGTTCTTTAATAGATTAGTTTTAATTTGTCACGAAATCTTGGAGACAGAAAATCTTAGTTAACGTTATCTAACTGAATATCTCGAAATCTAATGCAATTACAGCTTACATTTTCAGAGTAAGATAGTTATGATCCTGTACTGTTGATGCATTATTTATTAAGACTTTTCTAAGCTTGTCAATTTGAATGATTTTTCTCACTGATGTTGAACTATGATAAGAACTTTCTGAATAATGATGAATCCGCTGAATTTGTTCTGTTTCTATGATATATAATAATGCATTTAGATCTATTAACAGTTGGTAAATGTAGAAAGTAAGATATTCATATTGCAGAAATATTTCATCCAAACCCATGCATGAAATTTTTATGATTATTTATGACGGATTTCAGACACGATATACAAAGATCCCACAATTTGTCAAACTTACACAAAATATTAACCATTATGTTTATCAGTAAAAGGTGGATAACACACAAAATATGAAAATTACTGTTGCTATAACTTACAAATGATTGATTGAATTGTTGTAATGACTGAGGTGACCAAACCAGCAAAATGTTTATCGAACTAAGTCCGAAACTCCAACAGAACACATTTCACATGACATAATTGCTTAACTAGAGCTTACACTCTAACAACAATACGCGACTAAATAAATAATCTGGTTTATAATAGCTCGTAACTAAGCTATTGATTATTGAATATATGAGGGGATTGGAGCTTTTATTTATAGAACTACGTAATCAGAGTAGACTAATCCTGAGCTACTTGCCAGAAAATGAATGATTAATCAGAAGCAGAAACGAATATCACGAAATAACTATTGAAACTTCTCCTCTTCTTGTTATCTAATCTATCATGTGAAATTATAAATGACCTTCAGAGAACTAGAGTTGTAAATCTGTAAAATTTTGGAAATCTCTGGATTTCTTGTTTCACTTCATATCATTAGTTTTCTGTGACTCAGTGTTATTTGATTGTCGTACAGGCTACAGTAAAATAGGCATCACACTGGATAATCTTTTCCTGTACTATTAACTTCAAATATGTAGAATAATTGGAAACACGATTACATGAGACTTTTGTTTGTAACTGGTTGCAAGATAAAATTCTATCTCTTCAAAAAAATCCAGAGATATAATAAAAGAATCTGAATCTAAATTTGGTTGTTTGTTCTGATTATCAGAAATCAGTTCTTGAAATGAATATGATTCTTAATTGTTTTAGCTTTGTCAATAACTAATTTTTAAAATCGTAAAAAGAATATTTTTCCTCACGTTCACCTTCAAACTCACTAGTTTCATTTACTAGAAAGACAACAGAAAGCGAATAAAGTGTAAGGTTCTTTCAGTTTATTAGATTTTTCCTACATCGATCAGTTATTTTTATCACAAATCTAATGGGCTTTTTAGTTTTGACTCGAAAGGATTTCTAAATAACCAGATAATACTGTCACTCGAAAATTAAACTGACAAGTCCTGTTTACAATTTGTAAAGTAACTGAAACTGTTTAAAGTGTGATGTAATTTATAAGACCCTATGGGCAACTATATTGGGAACACAGCGTATATTTCAGCTGATTATTGCCACTGTCAATTTTGTGATGGTGTAGTGGCATTGGTTCCTAGTCATACGACTTTTGAAGCCAAGCATGTAATTACTGAAACGACTTATATTCAGCAATTGACACGAAGAGAAGGTTAACTATGGAGAACGCGGAAATTAATTCAATTCAATTGGATGACATGGCTCAGCCTTACGGGCGTGGTCATTCTTATGTAACTTATCACTTTTATTCATATTAAATATGTTGTTTTATCTTCAGCTTGAATGTGTTCTCCATAATATACTGGTAATTGTTACGATACGGTGAGTCAGTGTAGACAATGATGTGACTTCCACGTAAGATTTTATAGATTAGGCAGCTACATCATGACAAATCTACAATTCAAGGATTAGGTCTATTATTAGAGCAGTACAGTGGGACATGAATTGGTAACAATATTGAAATGACTGAAGTGCTGATTCGACCACGAAATCTAGCCACAATTCCCAACTGAACAAATTTCATAAGTAGTGACCACCACTCAGGTCACCATATAAATTAACAATATGGATTTTGCGTGAAGCGTTTAGCTAAAACGATGTGTTGAAATCATTTAGTAGGTAAAATCTGAATATTCTAGGTTGAGGATTAAGGTTACAGAACAATAGACGAAACTCCTGTTTTTCCAGTCGTATTAAATTTGTGATCATTAGGCAATCCATTTTTAACGTGTTTATTGATCATCTGATTACACTGAGACATAAAACAGAGGTACATAAACATTTTCAAAGACTCGCATGATCCTAGGTGCCATGTCAATGTAGCAGGACATGCACAGTTATAGATTGCTTTAACTGAGATAGGAATATATATCATGTATTACTGAACCTGACAGTTACTTATGCGATCATCACTGTTAAGTGATGCGCTGTCAGTACAACGAGTGCAACTGTGAACAATTTTTGATTGGTGTACCATAGTCAGGGGTAATTTTCATATTCTAACCCTCAATAATGACGTAAAATTCGCCTCTTTTAATTGGTGTCAGAATTTTGGCTTACTAGAATTCGGATATGAGAGAGCTTGTTCACAATTGTAAGTTGACCCGAAATATCAAACATTTAACTCCAAAGTAATTATTTTATGACTACTTATCCAAATGAAAACTTCATAAAAGGTTAAATTTTGTGAGCAATCATAACCTTGAATTTTAGTCTGTTACAACAATAAAACTAAACCAACAGTTATGAGTGCTTGATTATTATGGCTTATGGCATTATAGCATGTAAATGAATAATATGTATAACAAGTCTTCCAGGATTACCTTAAAAACCCCTTTATTATTCTACTGATTTATAGCATTTTTCTAAATGTGAAAAACGCTTAATTACTTTGTTTCTGAGTTAGTTCGGAAAGAAAACAACTTTAAAATTAAACTAATATTCACAAATTAATGATCATGTCATACTTGCTGATGACCATGTGTGAGATAGATTTCTGAATTTTAATTGAGAAATGAACAGTGATCGTCCAAATCAAGAATGAGACATTTATCACAAATGACAAGAAGTGATTGTAATACTATATTATCAATCAGTTCATGTCGGAAATGGGGATCACTGAACTTTAACTTAGTGGTTCAAAGTTAGCACGTCCATTTCGATAGCTAAAGATATTAGGCTTGATCCTGTAACAGGAATCTTAATAAATGACGAATCAGTGGTCCATTCATATCTTATTATCAGTAATATCCTGATGTATGTCAGTTTGTGAGGAAACTTATTTTCAAATTGAAGTAGTATCTGTAAATCACTTAAATAAGAAATTAAAGTTTAGTTTTAGACTTGTTATTTTCATCATTTGGTTAGTATATTAGAGTAGCGAAGACTGATGTCTAATTATACTTGAGGTTCTCTAATCTATTAAAGTCCTATATTGTCTTAAGTTCAACAAAACTATGATCATCATGAAGGCAGTATAGCTTTCAGACTCATAAAACACTAATTGAATCGATTGAAACTGAAAATCTTGCCAAATCAGCCACCTATGGGCAACACAGAGTACTACTCAGAGCTTTTGTGATCAATCCTAAGGTAGGTCGCTGTTCCACTTTGTTCCTGAGCAGCTAAATAAACATAAATAGCTATTTAGTGCACCTTGATTTCTACAGACTCCAGTTATAATTAAACTACATGATGTTAACCAATTTCAAACTGAACAATTCCTATGAAAATTTCACCTTAGTACTAATTCAAGAGTTCATTGGTTTACTACGTCAGTATTAGCATCATAAGGATCAAATTCATATCATAAAAAATCATAAGGATCGATCAATGTTTCACAAAAGACGATGATAATCATCTTAACTATGTGTTTAAACAAAATTAGATTCCTTAATTTTGTCAAATTTAAACATCTATTTATCTAAAAAAGAATCAACTTTAAGATCTGTAAACCCATTTATTTATATTTAAAAATTCATCAGAATACAGTCAAAAAAGGTGAGTGAATATTCTTCAGTGTTATCCACTGAAACAATTACATATATTTCAGATAGTGAATGTTTCCAGAATACGGCATTACAAATTAATGCGTATTTTATTATGTATATAATACAGTATGTATTTTACATATATGAATATGTTAATACAAATTGATTCTTATTAACAATGATCACAGTTGACTTAGGTAACTTCAGAAATATTTGTATGTATTTGATTCAATGATAATAGGTTTGTAAATATATTAAGGATAAAAACATTTAGCACTAACTTAATCATAGGCTATTACTAGATCTAATCATTGTAAGGAAGTGTACACATTCAAGAGTAAATATTTTACAAAATGTCACTAATGTTTGATTAGTTTATGTAAATGATTACAATGTATTATGAATGATAAAAATCAGTAAGTAACATATCAATAAATAACAATATGAAGAAAAACAAAACTATTTTGTTCATAATATACGTGAATAAAATGCAGATTAAATGGAATAAATATCAAACCGAAAACAGTATTAATAATAAGTGTACATTATTGTAGATCAACTACATTACGATTTATTAATTGTAATGTTGTATCAGGCAAATCAGTTTTTAAAATAACAATACCAGCAATAGTAATTAATGTAAATAAATAAATAATAAAAAATAAACGATCAATAATTAATGCCAATATACGCCATTCAGTACCTAATGAATTTTTATGTGAAGATTTAATTTGTTTTATATTTATATGTTGTAAAAATTCTTTTATATTATATGAATATTGTTTTAATTCATTATGTTTCATTTCATTTATATGATTAGAAACTATTTCATTAATTAAATGAATATTGTGATTTAATTGTTTTTTATTAGAAAAATTATTAATTTGATTATTATCATCATCATTTATCATTGAATAATTATCATGATAATTCATTTGTATTGAATTAGTTTCACTTATTGAAATGTTTAAAGAAGATATTTTTGGATCTAAACGTTGTGATTTATCAATTAATGGAATTATTTGCCGAATTCCTAACATACGACCTAATCCATCAATGATAAACTGTAAAAAAAATATTAAAGAATTTTTCTTTGAAAACAAAATAAGGCAATAAGAAATATCGTAGAAATGAAATTAACTTTCAATGATATCTTTGAGAATTACTTACTTACTTCTGATGGTGCCAATGGAGCATAGGTCGCCGACCAGCATTCTCCAACCCACTCTGTCCTAGGCCTTCCTTTCCAGTTCTATCCAATTCTTATTCATTTTTCTCATGTCTGTCTCCGTTTCTCGGTGTAATATGTTCTTTGGTCTTCCACTTTTCCTTCGGCTTTCAGGATTCCATGTGAGGGCTTGAACTGTGACACAGTTGGGTGCTTTCCTCAATGTGTGTCGTATCCACTCCCAGCACTTCTTCCTGATTTCTTCCTCCTCTGGGATCTGGTTTGTTCTCTCTCACAGTAGGTTGTTGCTAATAGTGTCCGGCCAACGGATCCGAAGTATTTTGCGTAGACAACTGTTAATAAATACCTGTATCTTCTTGATGATGGCTTTTGTAGTTCTCCAGATTTCCGCCCCAGTAGACAGTAGAACTGTTTTGATATTTGTATTGAAAATTCTGACTTTGGTGTTGGTTGACAGTTGTTTTGAGTCCCAGATGTTTCTAAGTTGTAGATATGCTGCTCTTGCTTTTCCGATCCGTGCCTTCACATCTGCATCATATCCTCCGTGTTCATCAATGATGCTGCCCAGACATGTAAAGATTTTTACATCTTCCAAATCTTCTCCGTCAAGTGCGAATGGATTGTTTTATGCTGTGTTGTATCGGAGAATCTTGCTTTTCCCTTTGCGTATGTTGAGAATACTCTTTGAAATATTTGAACTGAAGATAATGCAGTTGGTTACATAACTATGTTCTGTTATCAAATGTTAAGATGTTATTCATTTTACTAAATATTAATAAGTAATATAACTATGTTTTAATAATTTTGTGTTTAGAGACATAAAATACCCAAGTTAATTTTGGGGAAACATTACTAGTAAATTTGTAAGGCATTACATATCAACTCAAATCAGAATGATTTCATGTTTGAAGATATTTGTAGTGTATATTACGATATTCATTAGTTCAAAGAAGTACTAGATAACAGTAGGTTTACTTATATTTTAAATATCTGAAAATAAACTGTAAGAAACCCTGGATATCTCCCTAAAAGGTATATCTGGAACCTCAGAGTAAGTGACGTAGTCTCTTAAATTTAGAATGATCAAAGTGGATGATGATATTTCTGACATTCTGATGCCTGTCCAAATTTATATAAATTCATTATCTCTGTTCAGTTGTTTTTGATTGATTTATTTATTCTATTTCGATATCAAGTAACCGTTCGACTTATAGATAACATTATTATTCAGTTTACGATTTAAATTTATCATATTGCGACACTTATGAAGATATATACATAATGGGATAGGATGTTGAGACTTTTCTTCAAGCTTACGTAAAACATCGAACAAATGCTGTCGAAAGTGTTTACAATCATCAAAAATTTCTGTTACAGTGTAAAGAGATGTCGTAGAATATAGTATCAGTTTATATTTCAGCAGAATAAGAATCTTAGCTTGAAAATTACAATCACAGATGTCTCAGAACCTAACCTTCAGCTCCTGTTGTTATTTCTGCTTTGAAACATAATACAACTATAGGAAGTTAATTAAGACAATGGTAATTTATATAAACAATCCGCAGGAAAGTGTACGAAGGTTACCTAATGTTGCCAAATATAAATATATTCATCCGATTGTATGATCAACATGAATTTTAAACCACCTTTTTGATACTGTAGGATAACATTAAATCTAAATGTAATCTATGAAGAGTCAATACTCTTTAGTTTCTTAGGTTTCAGTGGTTATTTAACTAAAACTAGTTCCTTATGTAACCTATGTGATACAAAATGTATGATTGTGGTTTAGACTGAGTACTTCTCAGTATGAAGTGATGTGAATTGTGACTAAGTAATGTTTAACCACGAAAGCGAGAATTATTAACACAAAAGTCTTCAAACGAGTAGATATAAAAATACGAAACACTTTGTTAGCAAACGACTTAATTCTAAATTATAAACTAGCAAATTTATACTAATTTTACTAGAAAACAGTGTTATGAGTAGAAGCTGAATACAGTATCTCTTATTAGTAACCAATAACTGCTTTAATTTACTGAACACACAACAATTTGGCTCTTTGGATAGCTATGGGCTCTTTTCCTTATTGTAACATCTGAATAGTTAATTAAATTACAAATTAAATTAAATAAAAAATTTTCATACGAATGTTATATATGTAGTTTATGATGCTTTGTACTCAATGTTGACAACTGAAGTTTTCAAGATTTGATTAAAAAGGTTAGTATAAATTGTACAAATTAAAATATTTAGAGATAAAATCTAGGTTGTAGTGTCGCCTGGAATGTGTTTCTTCCTGATATAGAATTCATTGAAAAACCTATTCAATTTCAATTCCATAACAGATTTCACTTTTGTCAAACAAGTTGTTTATAGTCTTTTGATTAAACTTTAATTACATTACGTAAAAAATGTTGATTGAAATTTGCTGTATTCAATTGTTTAAAGCAAGTGACTTACTCGACGAATCCAAAATGGAACTGCTTGACCTTCATTTCCTTTATAAAATAAATTTACTACCCAAGTAGCCATAAATATTGACAATGTGACCATGACCATATTTAAGCAAAAGAAAATACCTATTCAAGAAAAGGGATCGAAATAAGCAACGAAAACAAGACAGATAATGTATCAAGAAAAAGATATGACGATCAAACAATATTTTCCTGTGATCTCAATAAGCAAACAATCATAATAAACGTTAATCCGTTAGTTGCTAGAAATGGACCCTTAAAAGCGACCCTTAAAATATCGCTTGTAGCTAACATGATATGAAAACGGCCAACACTAGTGATAAAAGCCAAAAATTTTACGGTTATATTGTTTATTTTATTCTCTGTCCTCTTGAAGAAAGATCAACTTTCGATAGGGCTGTAGTCTCAAACCCTGTTTTAGACAGAAGTGAGCATTTTAGGATTATTTCACAAGTTACAAACTGCAATTACCTAAGTGTCTCTTGATTAGGGGTAATCTATTAGAAGTTTTTAACTTACATTTTCCCTCGTTCTTGGGTCACAACAATTACAAAACCTAGGTTTAAAACATCGCGCTAAATCTATTCAACCTTTTATGGCCCGTTGATCCGACTCTGATTTGAATGAACAAATGAATATGGAATGAATATAAATTTTCTATTTAACTCCGTATACTACACTTAGGTTAACCATATTTGTGCGACGGCGGCAGTAAGCAGTCAAATACGTGTTGAGTCGAATTAATTTGTTTCATGTACCCATTTATTTAGACAGATATTAAGAATGGAAAGTGGGGAAGTGAATCGAAGTGGAGAAGGAAAGTGTGCCAACACCGTTTGACTCAATATTTGTATCCAGAAGGAAATAAGCTAAAAAGGTGATGAATAGGGTAAGTGATGGAAGAATACACTCACTTAAAAAAAACCAAGATTATAAGCGAATAACTGACAAGGTAAAGATGTTACTCAAGATAAATAAATGAATCGGTCTGTACTAAAATCAAAATTACCCATATGGGCTTGATATAGTGATGGTTATTGCGATTCACTCAACAAAACAACACAAAGCTGATTCCTTTATGAACTTGTTTGTTTTGCTGACGCTACTGACTGGATAAGGTGAGTTGGGATTGATGACAATGCACAAGGATATTAGTTACTGGTTATCAGAAGTTGCCTTACGTACAGTAAATAGTTTTTTATCATGGAATTCCATATAATGCTTAAGTTCTAACAACCAAGATGACTACATGAAACACTGTCTAATATAGTCACACTGAGCAAACGTGCATTGTTTTCCTCCACACCTGGGATTTATGTTTACATTAAGCACTTCAAGAATTAATTGTTTTTCTGGACAACATTAATAGCAAAATTAAACTTAAAATCAGTATTTTTTTCTTGGTTTCTTAAAACCATTTAAGAACAAAAAATCAAAAGAATGACAATGAATATAATTTTGTTAAACAATAAACGTTCATGGCTTGATTTTGAGTGCAGTCGGTTAATATTTAATAAGCCTTTAATAAAAAATAGTTTAATACCAAAATACCATTAGCCTATTTTTAATAATTGAAATCACTTTTTATCAAAAATAAAACATAAATCCGATAACTTTTACTGAGTATCTTCTGAAACTTCATACAAGATAAATACTTATCGTAAAATATTAATAAGAAATTTGACACAACATAGGAACTAATTTGAGCATTATCCACACAATTTTAAGGAATAATTAGTATGTTGGAGTTTGAGGTATAAATTGACTTATCATACTGAATTTGGTAGGGTTGACAGTACATGTAACCATTAAACAATTACAACTGTGTAATATTATATTATTGTTCAGCTATTAACCTTCATTGTTTCATTTAGTCATTAGTGATATTTTTTATGTAACCGTTTAAATATATTACTATAGAGTAGTATCTTTGATTCATATTAAAGTTTTTATTCATATTTTTAATTTCTTGAGTTCTGTTGTATTCATTGAAATTAATAGTTCTATCGAAAGTATAAGTAAGATCAATGATTTATGGAAATAAATGTGTTGAAATTAATATTATCAGTAATATAAATGCCTTTATACTTTTAGTGCTATTTTTATAGATGGGATATTTTTCCCTCTGTATCTCGAGTAAACACAAAGCTGTTTAAAAGGCAGACCAATAAATTTTGAATATTTTCAATTTATTGACTCCTATTTAAAATTCCCTACTCTTACTTAATCCTTAATTTAACTAAATAAACTAACTGATGTTGTTTTTTCCACTTAAAATTACGAACTTATCCCATCTAGACTACTGTTGACAACCTGGGAACACTGAGCAGCTTATTTGTCCTATTTCGAGACTCCTTAACAGTACACATCCACAACAACGCATCTAGGAATCGAACCTCGATTCTTAGGTCTTGCGTATGAACGCTGAACCTCTAGACCACTGACCCGGCATCCAACGGTGTTTAGTTCTAAATTCGATCAATTCTTGAACTTGCACAACCCAAATCCATTGATTCCGACGGATAACTGTATCACACTTGAAAGCGAATCTCGGATGCGGAGTCATGGATGCGTACTGTTTTGTAGTCCTGAACTAGGACGAAACGGATTGCCATTGTTTCAAGTTTTCAATCGTGGTTTAGCTAAGATTAGTTTGCGATTTAAAATTTGAAAAATTCTAGTCTCCATAAATCAACTGATTATTAGTAAATGATAACACAATTCATAGTATCCCAATAGATCACTGACTGGTTACACTTAGTGAACTATAGGACGGCTTGATCATCAATATTTAGTTTTAAACACTTATTCATAAACTTTAGTTTTCACACCTTGGCAGTATTACTGACCATCTCTTACATTAAAAACTATGGTTTAATGTTGATCACACGAATGCATATTTTGATTATCAGATTTGATTATCGTAACTACGCAATCTTTAATGAAAATTTCATAGTGGTCCATTAGTGTTGAAATATTATTAGATAACTTACAATCATGCAGTTTTTGAACGACTTGAATTATTTAATTCCATAATTTATGAATAGCTCAAGTAAATACTGAAACTGAAATTCGTATAAACTGATACACTGAATCAATACCGATATTTTTGTGCATATTCATTGAAACAAACATACCTATTATGGGGAAATTTTTTATTGCACTAGGCATTGATTTCGCCAATAGTAATAGTAATACGAAAAATCCCACGAAGATGTTTATGCCTAAGATAATTAGAACGAAAGAAATTTACACGGGATCAGGAGATATATTTATACTGTTTGTTCATATGAAAGCAGTATATATATATATATATATATATATATATATATATATATATATATATATATATATATATATATTCCTAAACTATAGCCTAGTAGTTTACTGACTATCATAGGACCACTGAATATACTATGATTTTTTCGATTTAAACTGTACAGTGATAAATAACCTCCGTTTTCTTACATATTAAATTCATTGCCCTTTATTTCATGCAATTTGTTTAACCTTGATTTTACTTAGAAATGCAACATCTAGTAACTATGACAGAAAACAAAGAAAAACGAGGAACCAACTGGTGCCAGTTATTCTGTTGCTTTTAGTATCCTTACAAATAAGCACTTAGGGGATTTATATGATAAAATACAATAGACTTCAGGTTGAACTTTAGAATGCAGCACATGATATAGAGTCCTACTGACTTGCATTCATCTTAAAATAAAAAAATTCAGGCATATTTTAGCGATTCTAATGATAAAATTCTGATAGAATTAACATTTAAATTTGTTCATTGATTAAATCACATATTGATTTTAGTTAGATAACTACTGAAAACCAAGAAGCTTCCACAGTACCTGCCGTACTAATTAAATTTGTGGCTGAAAAAAAATCTGTCTAATCTACTACCAGTAATCTATCCGTGTCAACTTACCTAACATCATTTTCGCGGCTGAGTCCGGTGGTAACCAAAAGACCACCAAACTTAGCAGTGATAATAACAAACATGGAACAATTAAAATAAATAAGTGAAAACTTGGATTACGATAAATACGTATTAAATAACGTAGAACTGGATAATATCTTTCATGTTTCGTTGATCCAATCAAATGTTCTCTAACTCGATATCGTTTTACAGACCTCAACTGGAGACAAGGAAACAAAAATAAAAATAAAAAACATAATTGTCCAACTGATTTAAATTAAGAGACATACAAAACATGAGGATTATGACATAAATAATCTTAAACTAAATGATTAAGAATTTCGGTTACTTTTTAAAGAGACTTTAATTATTGTGTGAATTACCAATCTGAATACTTGTTATTATGAATTGACCACAAAACACACCTGTTTGTAATAATATGAAATAGTGATCTTTGAGAAAGTCTATTTCCTTCAAGAATAACAAACTTATAGGTTTATAGAATAGTTCATGATATATGAAATTAAATCGACTAATGCAGGGATGAAAAAAATTTTAACAAAACATCAGATTGTTCAAAAACTATTCGTACAGTAGTAATGGATATATACGTATAGGTAATCTCAAAACAAACCTTTATGCAGCGGTAAATGATTGTAAAAGAGGAAGTTGAAAGAACCAGTTTTAAAAATTCATATTCATTAATGACATTAATTTGAATTTTTGGGGTAAAATTAGTACCTATTTTCTTCTGCTATTTACTATTAATCAGTTAAAATAACTTGGGTATAGTGCTTTGAGTAAATAGCTTTATATTCTTACACATCTTTAACAGTGTCTGTACTTCAATTAATTCATAAACATTATTGCCTAATGAATGTAAAAATCTATTATTATTGAACTGGTTAACTTATATGATATAAAGTCTGCATACTTGTTTATGCACTTGGGTTGACATGAAAATCTTACATGAACATGTTTTTAGCGATCATATTAGTATGGCCAACATCAAGATCTCCCCAACCAAAGTAAATTCATGCCATATAAAAGAAAATAATACGAAGAGGTATAATTATATATTATGTTACTTTATTGAAACTTGGTAACGTTGAAATGTCATCGTATTTTACTCTAGAAAACCTCAACAGGAAGCCAATCAAAACAGCGAGAAAACTTGTTGATATCTAAAGTCTCGTACCAATATGTTTTGATATTGTTTTTGATTATTATATTTTACTTTTCTAACTGTATTCATCTATTACTGCTGTATAACAATTCTTTTGTAATTATGATACAATCGCTATTATGACATTTACACTTTTTACTTCTCTTCCATATCTATCGAATGGACAATTAGTTCTCATATTTATTACCCATAAATTACTCTCATCTTACTTTTATTTAAACTCTGGATCATTACTTAATCTCCTTTTGATATTTTAAATCTCCAAACACCATAGTGTAATCTTTCTCTAATCTTTTATAGACTCATTTATTTGTTAAACGATTCTACAGCTTTAGTAAATGATTTCATTGAGAAAATCCTCTTTGCTGAACTGCCTTCACATGTAGAATAATTTTCTCATTAATATATATTTTAATTTACCTGATGTACTCGATCTTCATGTCTAATATGTCGTTCTGCTTCTCCATCTGTAAACCAATCATTCGCAGGTACATAATCTGAGAAATCAACATATGGCATCGGCGTATCACTGCCATCTGGTATCCACCAGTCCAAATCTAATTGGGTTTTGTCATATGCCATTGAACCAAACTCTAACATACAAACCTGTAAATAAAATCCGAACAATTGGTTTTCAAATTCTTATTATGATCGTTTAAAAATTTATCCTCTACTTTAAATATCTTAAAATAATTATTTGAAGCTATTCATATTTTGTTATATGTATGTTGAAGTACTAAAAAAGTATTGTGTTTCTCCAAAAATTCTATTCCGGTTTGGGAGGAAGAGGTGGTCTCAAAGAGACCGTGTAAACTAAGATTAGTTTGTATCGTGCAGATTGTTGAATTCTATCTCAAAAATTTAGTAGCGTCAACCTCAGTGCTAAAACTAAAGGTCATCGTTCCCATCCCATGTGAGGTAATAGGTCCTGATTTTTGACATACCCAGAAACTCAGGTTAGATGTCTATCCAGTTCTCATTAAATTTTGGTAGGTCGCAAGCTGGTGTCACTCTGTCATGAAGCACATTTAAAAGTAAATGTTTTTTGTTAAAACGTTGCTTTACAGATCAAATAAAAAGCATTAGGACTAAAATACTTAAATTGTAGTTTACAGTTTGATAACTGTTTATGAGACTGAATCTACTGATTGGCGACACTAACTGATAGTCACAAAGATTAAATAACTGACCATTCAAACACGACGGAACTTTTTGTGTACTAAAGTGTAAGACATAATAAACATGAATAGAAATAATGTAACCTGTAGTCCATTTGCTTTCTCTAATATCAAAATTTTCATTCAAGATTCAGTAAATCTTGAAATTCAGATATTAGCCAATTATTTGTATGATATGGCATAAAGCTAGTTTAATTACGTAGTTTATCTAAAAATTCGAAAGGTTTCCTTTTTCCCTCTACTTAATCAATCTTTGGATTTAAAGAATTATTCAAAGATGACCTTATGTATGTTTAGATCTTTTATATTTTGAATTACTTTGTAAAATAGTGTCCTATTTAATCTAGGCTAAAAGTTTCCTTTTTTCTATCTCAGGTTCTTGCATTATTCTATAAGATTAAAGTCAACAACAAAGCATAATCAATCTCTTCATAAAATTATTTTACAAATTTCTATTCCGTTAACAAGGGTTCATTTAGAAAGCAGCTCTTTATGGTTATTAAAGGATGTATCGTCAGTCAGTCAATAACAACGTAGACTGACTGTATCGACAATATTATGCTTTTTCCTATTCTTTGAAGTTAATTCCTAGCCACCATATTAAATTATTCTAGATATTCATATCCTTTAGGTTTTCAAGTTGCTTAAAATAGATTTGTATAGTATTCCCAAGGCACATTTTCATTGGGATTTCTTTTCTAGACTACATCTTGTGATACGCTAATTGGCATTTTAAGCTAACTGGTTGTTTTATGACTTGAATTCTAAGTCCTAATCAATTATTAACTAGGTGATAATACCTTTCAGCAGAAACTAGCATTAATCAAAGAATCATCAGAGATCAGAAAGTACTGCTTAAGTGTTTTGTCTGGATTTGAAATGTATCGAAAATGTGTTCCACCAATCACAGACTAGATATGTATTAGGATCTTTAAATCTTACAACAACCACTATACCACCTGACCGATGAGTACAAATTTAATGATTCGTAATTTACAATTACTTTCATTAAATTATATAACTTAGAAAACAGAATGTAACCATAACGCCCTTTTTATTATATTAGACTATATCATTAAAAGACATGAATATATTCAATATACATATTTGTAAACCAGTCCTTGAAGCAGATTTATAATGTATATAGTGAAGATACTACTTGGCTAATCAAACAAAAGTAAGTGAAGTAGTAGCAGAAAATGAAAGTTAATGGTTCAAAGTAAAAACTAGATTTATTAAATTATGTTATTGAAATGCACAAAGTACTAGCCTCCATCCTTGTTTTTGCTTATGTTATTCTATTAATTCTCGATGTATATGAAATCTTTTCATATTGTTGGAAAACATATTTAGTATCTATTCGGGATGCTAATTACAACATTCAAATCGACGGTTACAAGGACTGGGTTATTTTTAAAGTAGTTTTTGATTCAAACTGATATGAATCCTATAATGGCAATATTTAAAGAATACCAAGTTTTCTAGATAACAATAATGGATTTACTAACATTTTCGGATAATTTTTTAAATATGTGCATGTGAAGTTGTCTTTCACCCACTAACAACTCACCTGACTATCAAATGGAAAGTATGTAATTTCAACTTGGCATGTGCTTCTGAATAATGCCTGCTGAATCCACAGTATATTGCCACTGCTATCTACCACTAAACGACCTTCTCGAAATTCTTGTAAACGTTCATCTGCACTAAAATTTTCAAAAAAATATATCGGAGAGTGAACGTGATTTCTTTCAATTTAATCTAGTGAATGTAATGTGGTAGGTATTTGTATTTCATGGATCACAGCTTATAAAAGTAATTCAAAGTGGTTCAATTAATTTATTTTTTATTACCAGTAAGCGTCAGAAAACCAGTATACCTGGACATATAATTGTAACATGTTAAAGTACTGGCCATATTACAGCTTTGAGATCTGTGTATTTTAACTGTAAGAGGTGACTTCTTAGGTTTATAGAAGTCCGAACTATTAGATAGATTGAGCCTTCTTCTCTAAGTGTTGAAAAGTTATTTGAATCAAGTATGGACAACAATTGAAACAAAATTATTTCAGTTTACCATACTTTGAATCTTAATCGAATTAACAAGGACTTTTTATTGATCTAAAATATTCCATAACAGTGCATCATCAAATATACCTTTCTAAAATTCTGACAATGAGAAGCGTTGTTGAGACGTTTATCTGAATATCTAGGCTTGATCATTGAAAAAATACTTCATAAAAGGAAAAAGAAGGATAAGACTAGAATAATATAGAACCTGAAAAATCTCATACGAGTTGCGTACTAAATTTTAAAAAGTTTAGAGGATTTAGATAATTTTCACAGACACCAGTAATTTTTTTCGAGAAAACAACTTACAAATTATAGAGTTTAATATCAGGTGTCCATATTTGATGTGGAAATATCCTCAATTCTTTAATACCACCATACTGACTTGCATTCCATTTCAATAAAGAATCACTCCATCTCTGTGTTACATTGAAATAAAATGGTGAAAAATGTTCTACCGATTAATAAACTACAAAATTTATGACTAATTTTTGATATATTGTTTGCTAAGAGAAGCTTACTTTACAAAACCTACATAGTTCATATTCGAAATTCTTTATTTCATTACAAAAATTAACTTCTCATACATAATTAAATCATTTGAAAAATTTCAGGAACTTCATTCTCTGATGTTAGATTTCAGAAGTTTCTAATTACTGACATAATTGAAACATTTTCTAATTTTCTCAAAATTGAATTTCTGTTACTTTCTTTTTACCAATAGATTGATAGTAAGAAAACTGAATACTGAGAGGTAATTGATGTTATGTTGTCTAGACTTTAATGCTACTCGATTTCCGTAAAACAAATTCGTAACATATTTACTAGATGAAGTGACTCCAGACCATCATACACTTTATTGGATTTCAAATGTTTATAGATTATAGCCAACAACTTTTAAGCCAATGTCTTTTGCATTTTGCCTGAACACTTAAGGGATCTGATTACTTATTCGAAATTTGAACAGTGATCAACAAGTACCACTTTCAGAGACTACCTCTAAGCTACCTTTATTCAGAAATACTTGTGAAATATTTCTAATTATTTGTTGATGTCAGGACCACCTTTAATTCATTAGATAGGACTTTTGGAGAGGGGTGTGTCTGATATGATCATTAAAATCTTGAAAATTTTGTATAAAATCACTTCGGAAAGAGTGATGATATGCAACCATCTTCCTCGGATATTTTAATCAAATAGAGGTATTACATAGGGTATGTCAGTCACACCACTCATCTTGAACTTTTCAGTCAATCACGTTCTGGAAACATCTCTGATCTGTTAACTGGAAAAGATTTTCAGACCTTGCTTGAGTAAGTGAGATGATTTCACTGTCCAATAATACACAGTCTATGCAAATAATACTCAATCATTTAACAACTAGTGTCCGTAAGTACTGCATACATTTCGCACTTTAGAAATGCACCCTTTGTAGTAAACTGTTAAAAATAGTCGAGACGATCGATTATCTACGTACTTATGTCGCTGCTGGCGGTGGCTTGTTGGATGATAGATTTATACCAATCTGGAGTATCTTTAGTGCCTTCGTGATATTAATAGCAATTCTACTCTAAGCTTATGAAACCGGATCTTCTTGAGTTTAGGATGTTCGGCGACTCTCTGCAGTGTAGTGCCCGCATCCGATGCCGAGAATGCTTTTGACCCTAATATCTGGTACTCTTTATTCAATTGTATCTATCTTTATGGCTTGAGAATATCCTACAAACTTTATCTAAGAGGCTCCTACACCACGTGTTATTTTCCAACCGTAGGACTGGGTGAAAAAAATGGGAGTGGTCAATCTATAGAATAGAGAGGATAGCTGTATAAGACTGGTATCTGTAGGTTCACCATGCGTCTAGTGTTATAGTCCTAGAGACGACACAAATGAGTAACCTGATACGTTATCAGGCCTGTCATAGGACAGAAACTACTAGCGATCTTGATGTAGTTTTCTACTACATTCTTAATATAAGATGAAACTCGTTCAGTGAGAGTTCTTTAGTCATTACTTTTTGACTGAACTGCAGCCTTGATCAAAAACGATGTATTTACACTTAATTTGTTGATTGTCCTAATATTCTTTTCTTTCTGTAGATTATCATTTCATATGTGTTATGCCTATGATTTGTGATGCCTTATTGCGTCAGAATTTATGTGCTTTAAATAATCGGTAGGAGGAGCAGGGAATAAGTGCTTATATCTCCCACTTTTCTTTTCAGTGATGCAGTTTCAAATCTTCAAGAGAAGCTATTTTTAAAATCTTATGTATGCAATTACTTGACCTAAATCTGTTGAGTCATATCAATTAGCTTCTACTATCACGCCACATCAGGTGTATCTTGATTTTAACATGTTTTAAAGACCATTATGCTTACCATATAAAGAAGTGAGTTAAGATTTATCATAGCCAGAAAATGTTCTGTTTAAATCACATCATTTGTAACACTCAGGAGAAAACAAAATACCATGATCAATAGGAATTCAGTAGATTGGAAAAAAAATTCAGTAGGAGATTAGATCACAATAACCCAACTTACATATACAGCCCAACAATTTGTCCTTAAAACTTGTTTATTTTCGTCAAGCCCAAGGAGTTGAATCATTTGGAGACCATACTGAACGACCATTTTCACACGACTATTATTCACAGGTCTTCCAACAACACCATTTTGCTTATAACGTTCCAATATCACACGAATAAGTGATTTTTCCATACTGCTTTCAGTTTCTGCATGGTCTTAATTAGATAAAAATGTCGTTCAAAAAGATTGAACTATCTTTTTTTAGGTAAGGTGAACATAAATTAGTAGTGTAATAAATTTTACATTTCAAATTGGATTTAAACGATATAGGCGTTATGAAAATCATTTGCCAATCGACAATTTCAGCTTTCAAGATACTTTCCTCAGATAATATGTTATAAGCAAAGAAAACCTGAAAGGATTATAGAGAATCATGGCTGATAGTATGTGATGGTCACAATCTATACTCTACACTAAATGAAGTAATGAAATTAGGAAGACCCAGTTATATATTGGTGCTGTCGCCTGATAATCAGAGAGAGGATTGTGATTCAGTCAAAAGTCTTCATTACTGAGTAGCAAACTAGATTGAAAGAACTGACCATAGAAAGGTTCTCGTTTTCTTAAGGTTCTTACGTTTATGTGATAACAGTTGCTTAGATCTCCCAATATTAATGAAACTGTGTATTTATCAACACGTTCAATCAAAAGTTAAAGTCATCTACGGATTACTAGCAAAAGGTCTAAAGTCCTTCGACTCCACATTATTATGAAAAAAGTATTCTTTCAACACACTCATATACTGACAGACATATATAGTTGATTTGAATTGAGCATTTTCTCATTTTTCTACCTAAATATAACACAAGTGTTATTCGGGTAGACGAACTCGAATGTTGAAGAAAGTGCTACTGAGATAAAGTGAATTTGCTTGTTGATCATCTATCAGATATTATACTCTGTACTTGCTAAACAATGGATTTATTCTAGAGCATGAGAATACTTGTGGCTTAGTTGCTGAAAGATTTCATATTCAAACACTAAGTTGAATTCCCAACCACTGGACCTTATGTTTGATAACTTCATACCTTTACCTTTGGTTTTTATCGAGACGGTAGGATGGATAAAGTATTTATCGGACACCTACCAACTACTGTCCAAAAGGCAATCCGCTAACATATATTTTGTTAATAATACGAATGTCAGTACACGATTCAGTCAAACTGACAAATAAAATAGACAACTATATCATTCACTAAAAATGAAAATCCCAGATGATTGATAAACAGAAAATTTCCCGTTCAAATAAAATTATGTCTTCTTTCACTAGAAATTTATTATTCCAAAAAGTTGTCAAAAACATACCTACGTTAGTTTGTGCCATCAAAACTGTCGTATTAATAGTTAATTCAAACAGATTTTCCAAAATTCTGATTGAAATTTCAAAGCCAAAATGAGGTTAGTGGTATGTATCAGTTAGAAATAAAACATAAACTAAATTGATTGAGAGATCATGATACTCAGGAATGGAGGTGGATTTTATTGGTGTCAATGATGTACACTAGACTAACCAAATTGTAACTGACTAAAGAGATGTCCAACTACAAAATCAATGTCATCAAAACAACCATATAAGCAAACTGTGGATGAATATATGCGTGTGTGAATTTTTTTTAGTGTCTAATTCTGCGATCTGGGAAACCCTCTCTCCTAATCTGTGTTTGTGTCAAACACAATTTGTATTGCCGATATATTGTTCACAACTGACATGTCGAACAAGCAATTTCGACAACTGCGTGAACTTCCCCGTGTAACAGTCAGTTTTCAAAAACTCAAAATTGTAGTGTCACAGTTTAGAACTAAAAAAAATTGTCGTCAAGCCATTTGGTAACTTAGTTCTCCTTGGATTTTATTCAACTGACCAATCATAGATAAAATCATATTTTAGGTTTGTTGTAACCCCACAACGTATCACAGCTTAATTCAGATTTCAATGTAAATTGTGGTGGTTAGTGTTTCAACGATAAGCTTATCATGCAAATTCATTATTTACACCCAAAAGCATCAACTTGATTACGGAATGAAACCTAGAAATGATTAACAGAATTCTGTTATCGAAAAACAAGTTTAAACACCACAAAGGAAAATAATCACTGACGAATATGCAACCCGGATTTTTATATCTTGGGAACTAATCAAAAACTTTCAGATCACTTTACCCATCCTACAACATGCTCTAATCGAGCAGAATTGTTAGTATTCAAATAAAATGGCCCTATGCAGTAAGGTTGAAAACGATTACAAAAAGTTTAATGTAGTACGGTAGATGATGACTTACTACGTGAACGAACTGTTGGAGACAGAAAGAGGTAGACAAGCACAACAATACATCCACTACTAAACAACATCAGTCATAAACAGGAATGCCATTCATCCTATGATGACTAACTCATCGTTAGACCAAATGTATTTTAAGTTTAATGGGAAAAATAATAATCCCTAGTTTAATACTGTCAAGGTTATAGATACTGAAATGCAATTGGCTGGTGAGATTTAAGTTAATCAACTTAGGAAGAAAAGTTAAGGAAGAAAGTGAGCGATGGCTAAACAGAGACCCATTGTCAAAAACGATCAATAAGTATTATTATCAATCGATCTACTAGAGTAAAATAAAATCAATTAAAAGCGGTAAGATACAACCCGTGTAGTTTTCTTTATAAGGAAGATTATAAAATGTTTATTGTAAGTAAACAATGCACAGATTTGTTTATCGACTTTCCAGTAAATTCTGTAGCATATACATGCGTGTCAGACATAAAGTATACTTATTGATAACTTACCAGATATCCCCAGAAGTTTGTTTTGCCTTGATGCTCATAGAAAACACTGTTTTCGATTACTGTCGCTTTATTCCATGTCATTAATATTTACTTAAAATAGAAGTGAACATCTTAAGATAACCATTGAAAACTTTGTTTCCACCAAACTACCTATTGGATAAGTCTATCAGGAACATCAATAGACTACGGCTAAACAGCCTCACGATAAAACAGAAACACTGCTAATTTTTATATTTAATGTTATTCTCAAAAACTTCTAGGGGTGTCAGGCAAGTTATTAATAAGTATACTTTATGTCTGACACGCATGTATATGCTACAGAATTTACTGGAAAGTCGATAAACAAATCTGTGCATTGTTTACTTACAATAAACATTTTATAATCTTCCTTATAAAGAAAACTACACGGGTTGTATCTTACCGCTTTTAATTGATTTTATTTTACTCTAGTAGATCGATTGATAATAATACTTATTGATCGTTTTTGACAATGGGTCTCTGTTTAGCCATCGCTCACTTTCTTCCTTAACTTTTCTTCCTAAGTTGATTAACTTAAATCTCACCAGCCAATTGCATTTCAGTATCTATAACCTTGACAGTATTAAACTAGGGATTATTATTTTTCCCATTAAACTTAAAATACATTTGGTCTAACGATGAGTTAGTCATCATAGGATGAATGGCATTCCTGTTTATGACTGATGTTGTTTAGTAGTGGATGTATTGTTGTGCTTGTCTACCTCTTTCTGTCTCCAACAGTTCGTTCACGTAGTAAGTCATCATCTACCTTACTACATTATCGTATTCATGCAGATCGACCTCATAATATAGTTCATCATATACGTTGGATTAGTGACTTTCTATACCTCCTTGACACAAAATATTATTTAACACTTAACCATCTTACTTTTTCGTATGTGTTTTCAGTATTCGGGGTGCATTATACTTTTAAAAGATGGCAGGTCCTTCAAAGCTATCTGATGAGTGAAGTTAGTAATAGATGTCACTTATCAAAGCAAACTTGGTTTATGAAAATTATAGATATTTGACTATATAATGGGAAGAATTTCCTGTGGTACTTCAGGTTTAACACAAACCGACACCAATAATAATTTCGACCTCGTTTCAATAGTAAATTAGGAAAGTATAAATCTACCAAGTAATTGAATTTGTCAAGTATTACAGAGCCCCTGCAATATGGGTTATCGTGGTGTTTAAATGAATTGATGATTCCTTTGTACTTGTTGAATGCTTGATTTCGAATTCGAAATACAGTGCAATCGTTTGCGGTTATCTAGTACTTCTTGATCCGATTACGTTATTTCTGGGATTCCTAGTTCGTACCATAATTCAAATACTTCTAATTATCACATTGACGTCGCGATGGAGCCTGTGATGGGATTGTTGGATGTACATTCAGATGTTGATGCTTTTGAGGATTACTTTGAAAGGTTCGAAATCTGGGCTATGACCAAGGAAGATGCTGAGGATGTTAATATTGTAGCACACTTCCTCACATTGATCGGAAAAGAGGCATACAGCTTATTAAGAACTCTGACTATGCCGGAAAAGCCCATTTCGCTTCCTTATACAACTCTCAAGGAACTTCTGCCTGACTATGTTAAGTATACAAATTTCGAATGTGGTAAAGGAGGAAGATTTCGTAAAATGATTCATGAGGATATAAAAAATTCCACTGCATTACGTCATCCCAACCCAGACCATACTCAAGTTTATGCAGATAATTCACTGAGAAGTTGCGATGCAGTCCACGAACATGGGCACAAGTTTGGTCAATGTTTGTCCTGTGGCAGGTTCTACTCTTTTAATTCATGTAAATGTCGTAATTCTAAGTGCTTTAAATGTGGTGATATTGGACATATTCAGTCAGTTTTTAATACTACTATTCATCTTGCTGCAACGAATATTAAGTCGTGTAATTCTGATTCTATTAAGTCCAGTGTTCCTAGTGATCATTTATCCCTATCAACGATTTCAAAAGATAGTGTGGATTCATATAGCAGATCAGAATTGAGTGAAACTCAGAATCTTTGCGAGACAACAGTTTCTAATCAATCAACTTATCAGATTTCTCATGTTATTGTACCAGATATGGTTTTTCCTAACGATTCACTTATTTCTGACGAAATTCCTTGCAAATCTGAGGAAAATATGTTGAATGAACCTAGTCATGACCGAAAACCTGATAGATGCTGATTTTTCTAATGATCCTTTACTCTGCAATGACATTCTTAATAAATCCGAGGGAACTATTTCAGAAGAGTCAAAGCTTGATATCATACCGAATATTATTTGTCCTCATAATGCATTTGTTTATTGTGAGAAATATGTTTTAAATGAAGCCACATCCTTCACTAATTGGGTATATAAGATCCAACATTATTTCGTGGGGGAGGAAAGTCTAAAAGTGTGTGGTTCAAATTCTAGGTAGCAGCGGTTTCAGTACACAACCGACATGCTTATTACACAATCGCAGGAAGCAGGTGAGTGTTCCGATTTCGATTGTTAATTCTAATACTCATGAGTGCATTCTAGATAATAAAGATTTTATCCAATACAATTTCGGACAGACACAGGATTAACTTTAGAAGACGTACAATTGATTACAGACACCTAGACTCCAATTTAAGCTGTGGCGGATGTGGTGTTTGAATGAACTGATGATTCCTTTGTACTTGTTGGATGCTTGATTTCGAATTCTAAATACAGTACATTCGTTTGTGGTCATCCAGTACTTCTCGATCCGACTACGTTATTTCTGGGATTCCCAGTTCGTACTTTATATCAAATACTTCTGATTATCACAGATATTTTTCCGGTAAATGTCAATGCTGTTGTTACGATTCATTTCAAACCCCTATGAAAAAATTACTACATACGCCGACCCCATTTGTAAAGCAACCATGATAATGAACGACGAAAGTTAGTGGAAGATTCTGGATACTGTGTGAATGACAGCTATAGTAGACATTAATGACTTGCACAGTTTAGGAATTCGTTTCATTTCTATACGCTTCATATTTGATTAATCAACCATCTATAGTCGTTACGACTACGATTAATCAGATACTAACCCTCTCCATAATTATTAGTTTTATCATTGTTCGCTGATTGCCTATAAGTTAGGTTCGGTATCTTTTGTAAAATGAACTATGAAGCAAAACATAAACGCTGGACCATGACCATCAAATAGAATTTCAGATCGCTTTGTTAAGACTGTCGATGCTTGGTGAGTCATAAGGAAATTAAATAATTTGAAAACGATAATAAGAGACCGGGATTTTCCAACTGTAACAGAGATCTTGTGTTCCTGACCAAGGCAGTAAAACTAGCAATGCTTTTTTATATTCAATGATTTACCAGAACGTGTTTGTTAACGGGAAAATTTATTTCATATACATACCAGATTTATTTATCCCTTTTTAGATTGACATTTTACAACTTATTAATTGCATAACTAATTCTTTAGATTTCTAGAGAAAATCATTATTTCATGTTTTTTATGTTTACTTTACAGACTAGTGAATTGCCATATGTTGTTTAGGTAACCTTCAGCCTTATTATTATTGGGAAACAACTCGGTGTTGAGTATTTTGCATAGAAATAATAGCTTTCCTTCTCTATTATTGGTTTATATACTCGACGAGTCGGCTAATGATTCCATTTTATTTATTTGAGATTCGAGGATCAGTTGAGTGAGTAAAAATATTGTTTAGCCCACCTTCAATATTTCATTACAATCGATTGAATCTTAGTAAAATCTTTAATTAGTAAATTACTAAACAGATTAAAAGACAATGAATATGTGCAAGGATTAAGTGATAATATACAGCTTAACCCAAATTTAGATCAATTATTAAGAAAAATTCTATCAAAATAATAATTATATTCATAAGAGGAATGTAGATGGACAGAATAAGTAGAGCCCAAATTACATAGCCTACAAAATAAGAAACAATAAATTACCATCACTAAAATTCGACAGAAATTTATTAGAATGGGCATCAACCCAATAAATGACACTAAATAAACCAATTCAGTACCCACATCATAATTACGTTTTTAATGGTCAAAAATACCACCCACCCATCTAAAATGAACAAAATAAGGTGTGCAGCGTAACTATGGCCTAATAATTATGAATATCGTACTCAAACTATGACTCGAAATATTAAAATTATTGTTTGGATAGTATGTATTATTACAGAACGAAAATTGGAGGGCTGAAACTCTCGGTGCTATTTTCCAGATTATTATTTATATCTTTATTGTATAATTAATAGATAACTACATTAGTACATCACTATATCCCACTTATTACAAGGTTCCACTGGATTTATTAATTATTCTTATGCATTTTACTATTCCTCAATCATTACTAAATGATTATGTAATGTTCACTTCACCTTCTACCACTTATAACATAATTGAGCTTTAATTGATTTCTTATTTGGCGTGGCCTGTGGTCAGGCATTTATAGTGTATTAATTTATGAGTTTTTGGTCATGATCGAATTGGGTTCAACAGAAAAGTAGTCTGCCTCCTAT